TGCACACACATATATATATATATATATATATATATATATATATATATATATATATATATATATATATAGCCCTCTGTGAGTAGTAAACAGCCATCAGTGTGCTAATGATCCATTGTTAGGCTGATGGTCCTTCTTGAGCATGTGATCAGCTGGTTTTGGTTGTCAGCAGCAAAACTGGTTGATCCACTCTGAGAAGGTGCTATTTAAGAGACTGAGCTGAATACAGCTCCTCAGACTGAGGAAGTCTCTTGGATGAGAGACGAAATGTTTCTAGAATTTTTTTTGCTTTGTTTTATTTTTGTTTTTTTGAATGTCCAGAGGACCAGATTGAACTTTTTTGGATTACCATTTATTACTCTGAACCCTCCGGTCCTGTAGGGGGCGGTGTTGACGCACGTAGATAGTGTCAACTGTATAACGGTGCTCGTGTAATACCGAAGTCTGTGACCTTTGGAAATTGTGTCTTTAAGTGGCGCCTCAGGCATCCTATTCAAATGCCTGTCTTAAAAAAAAATCAACGGGTTGTGTTTTTCCAAGACCCCCGCGAACAGAATTGTTTAGAAAATGAATTATTTGTAACATTAAAGGGTGCCTTTTACGAGAATCCAGATATCCTGGCCATGTATCAATGACTGTATCAACCATCTTTGAAATTTACCACATTACGCAAAATATACCTTTTTTCATTTTAATTAGGACAATAAAATTTATGTGAATTTCGTGACTTTATCTCCTTTCTGGTCAGAAAATACAGCTTGATCAATGCTAATAGCACATGTGCTTCTCTGATTTATTAATAGCATAATTTTAAATATTTGTGTTATTACGGTTAGTGAAAAACGGAAGTCAATTTTTTACCTTTACGTACTACTCGGTTTATGAGTAAAAACAGAAGTGCTGATTTTATTTTAAGACAAAGCGTTAACTCGATGTCACTGAAAAGACGTGGGGGCTTTTAATGGCGAGGGTTCCTTTTTGAGCACAACACCAGCACGCACCGGAAGCTCCTTTTCGTGAGCACGCGGCGAATCCGGCCTTTCCAGCAAGGCAGCGACGAGGAACATGGTGAGGACCAGGCTCTCTTCATTAAACTATGAATATTGTCCCTTTAAAATATCATTCAACAGGTTGACTCATGGTAGAACGTGCACGTAAGGTGTTTGCGCTTCTGTTCGTGCATGTGTTGTCAGAGCGCTCGTCACAGAAATTTAGTAAAATGTTAATTTACGGATCGCGCTGCTGTTTAACTGGAGGCTAGCTGTTAGCTCATGCTAACGGGCGGCTAGGCCTTCATGAAAGCTGCGGCTCATTCAGTCAGTTCGTTCTGTGAGCCGTGCGCGTGCCGTGGGGCTGCCGGACACACTTAGTGGAACGAGTTTCTGGTGCTCACGCGCCCGCGGCCTCAACGAGTCCAGCCAGACTCGCACCGAGCGCGCGCGGACCCGTCGTGTTTGTTTTCCATGAGACAGGAGCTGCTCGGCCTGTGTTACTTTGTACCAACGTGCTTATGTTTGTTTACTTGTTTGTTTACTTCTTTATTATTTGTTTGTCATGTTAACACAACGACATGTTCAGGATGAGAAGAACCGGTTTGACTCGAGAACAAAACCTGAAGCATTTAAGAAGTGAATAAAGTAATGTACCAAAAGTGAAAAAGAAATTAATCTTTACCAGGTCCAAATATATATATATATATATATATATATATATATATTTAAACAACATGGTATACTATAACGGTGCAAGTAGAATGAATAAGTATTTCACGGGTAGTAATATTAGCTGAAACGCACATAACTAACAAAGTACACAGGTTGTGTGACGGGGTATTGCTCAGGTAGTGACACACATGACGCAGCA